ATTGATAAATATATCCCAGTTGTTGGATTGATTTTAGCAAAAAATATCATATCTATTTGAAATTATTAAGTATTATATCTTACAAGTCTGGTAAGTTCCAATAATAATTAGATTTCCACTTGCATCTATATGGGGATTAATATCTTTAAGAGTTAAAGTAGTCTGGAAGTTGGCTTGTAATGTGTTAGATGAAATAAGTCCAACTTAATGAGTTATTAGGTTTGTAGAACCTTGTATAACTGAATACCATTTTGTCTCATCACTGTTAATTACAAGAGAACCTTAATTTACAGTCGGTGCAGAATTGTACCATCTAAGTTCCTATTTTATAGCTCCATCTGATTTTTATATCTTTTACACAGAATTTGAGTACTAAGTCGCACTAGTATAGAAGAAATTAAGTTGCCAAATATTGTTTGAAGTTAATTGTGCGTCCTCTATTGAAAATAATGGATTGGTTGAGAATCCTCTTGATCTTTTAAACCATTAGACTGTTAGATCTTTATTAAGTTTCATCATTATCCCCTCAAAACTTGAAGATGCTGCAAAAAATGAAGTCTAGACTGACATGAGTGAGTAAATATCAAGCTCAAGTGATACCTGATGAAGTTAAGCATTTTTAATTGTTGTAGTGGAAGTGCTAACAAAATCAAAGTTTTTCTCGAGGTCTTAAGTTCCTGTGTCCACTGAAAGTCTAACTATTCTGAGAAGATTAGTTCCAACAAGATAAGAATATGCATAGGTGCCACCAATTATTGGGCTTTAAAATTCTCTATTTAAAGAAGTTGTCATTGTTATTATCCATAGTATTTAGCCATATTGGTCTAATTTTGATATAAAAGGGTACTTTCCAATTTAGTTATTTGTAAAAAGAGGACAGCTTACTGCTGTAGCAGAAGAGACATAACCTACTGATATCATATTGTTAGTAGCATCAACATTGAACCCTGTTTATATTACATCATCAGTGCATGAAGTACCAATTAATCCAAAAATGACTGGAAAATATAGAGTATAGTCAGGGCATGTGTTTGAATCAAGTTTCCCTAAAATATCTTAGGTTCTTAGCAATCATACGTTTTCAAAAATTTTGAGAAGTAGAGGGTGAATGATTTTACACTTTGCTTTTTAGAATTGGATCGCAATCGAAATCTTGCACTAATGACTAAGAATCGATATGTTCAGTTGAGATTTCTTCTTGATTCTTGAGTATTTATTAACTTGAAAAAATTAAGTTCGTAATCATGAGTAAATTATTTTACTTTTACTATGTGGTATTTAGCTGTGCTTCTTAAACGACTTGTTTACTATGAAATTTAGCATGTTGAGGACATATAGAATAGCAGTGAGATAAAATAATAATTAGTAGTAATTTCATTTTAGATACTTGCATTAAATAATTAAATGATTATTGATTACAGAGAGTAGATAGCAATTAAATTAATACTATCCTCTAATATAACTCTGAATACACAAAAACTATAAATTTTGTTTTGACTCTATAATGAATGAATCGTTTGCTTCATGGGGTTTTGGGGTTTTGGGG